ATAGATTCGCGTAATTTGTAATAACGATGTACTTCAACCTTGTCTCTGATCAGAATATTCAGACATAGTTTTTGTCCTGCTACTTGTACCCTTATAATTTCAAATTGACCCTTCTCGGGTTTGTGACTTTTTTGGACCAGTACATTCCATTATTGGTTTCGCGCTATAATTTCACATTATCATTGTCTTTTTTCTGCTTATTACAAAAAATTCGTGAGCATTCTATGTATATAAGTTCGTAAAGTTTATCACACTCTTTTAACACAAGCATTATATCCGGCTGTCTTCCTGTACATCTGTTATCCCTTCTATCTGAACTTGCTATACTTTGGCATTCAAAACTAAAAAAGGGATTATATTCATCAATTTAAAATTCGCAACTAGCTATAGCCAGATATTACAAAAAACTTACGTAGTAATGAATACATATTCTCCAAAAGGGTTATCAAATAATGTAGCATGGATTGCGAAGACAACTATATTATTAACATAAGTACCCTTATTTATCGTTTCAATAAATTCAGGACCAAAAGCTGGATTGCACTAAACACTTTTTAACGTATCAAGAATTTTTAACGCAACTTCATTAAGCTTATTGCCACCTTCCTTCCAGTTCCCATCATGCATTAATCTTTCTTGCAATCTTGGTATACTTCATGGTATAAAATTTCTTACGAATTTTACACATTTTTCTGTTATGCCTCAAGGTATTGTTAGGGGTACCATTTCTTTAACCGGTTTCTGGAATGAATATAATTAATTTTAGATGGTAGAAATGATATATATTATCTTTTACTGTCGAGAAAAGAGAGTATTAGCGAAGATACATATCATAAATTTTTTCTTTTGTTTTTTTTGATAATTGAGCTACTAGTAATGAATCACCACTGATAACTTGACTAGCCAAAGGGATCTTCTAGGTTAGTTCAGAGATTGCTAATCCATTTAAAATAACTACTAACTCCTGGCAAAGTTTTGATGTTCTGGTCTAAATAATACGAATACTTCGTATTAGTCTGACTTGTCAGCATGATAAAAAAAAGATAATGCCACCTACAGCAAGTTTTCCTTTTAACTTATTTA